ATTTTTTTAAATTATTTGGTCTCAAAAATGTAAAATATTTTTAATTTCTTCTCACAAAAATTATAAATTTCAAAATCTTTTTGAATGTGAAACCTTTCCCATACACAACAAGCGATGGAAAAGCAAAAATGTTCTATGGATGCCACTATCCAATTCCTATGTAGAATTCCCTGGTGATTCCGAAAATCGAGATCATTTTTTTTTTATTGATACCTTTTCAGCTTTTAAAAATAGTGGTTTCACTTAATCACGTATATCTTACGAACCAATTGAATAATCGTAATACGAGATACGGGAAATGAACGAAAGCAAATGAAATTCTCCATAAACTGTATATATATCACTTTTCGATAGCCCTGATAGTTTATGAGAAATTGATTTTGTCGTATAGTGTTACTGTATTACAGAAATACCCCGTAGCGAATGTCATGCATTAGTCACTTAAGTGTCTTGTACGGAGTACACCTGCACGACATTGTCACCAGTGTCATTGTCAGCTATATGTCGTTTAGGATTCACAGCAAGTGCGACGATGTCCCGCGACAGCCGGTTCTACGTACCGGAATGACTTGGGTTTTACCCGACCAAGGGCTGTTGTTTCGGCGATCTAACCCCGTTTAGGTCGACGAAGTATCTCAGAAATTGTTCGTCCATAGGGCTACATTCGCTACGTATTCTTCTGCTCAGGGCTGGCATCGAGTCAAACCCAGGGCCAGAAGCCTACACCGGCTTTGTATGCCAGAGACGACTACACCACAACTCCACCTCAGTCAAGTGTAATGCCTGCGAGGGGTGGAGTCACCTTAGAGTCTGCTCAGGATTACGGACACATCGGCAGTGGATCACGTCGTATATGGCCCCCTGCTGCTCAAACAGAGCAGCCTCCACGGCTAACCCCAGTCCACCTGAGCAGCCCCACACAATCACCACAGCACAACAACATAACAACACAATAGACCATATCACAACCACGACAGACCACAGAACACACACAACCGCACCACTACCTACACGCCACCGCCAACATCTCCTGGTTCCTCCTACAATCTGCACGGTATGTCAGACCAGAATATTTCGTAATGTGACATCAGTCAAGTGCAACACCTGCCTTGGCTGGTGCCACTTTAAGGCATGCTCAATTCAAGCGCCTTCAATTTAACTGTAACGGGCTTCAGAGCAAGATCGAGGAGATAACCGTCTTCATGGGAAGGCATGGTATATTGATAGCTGCGGTCCAAGAGACGAAGTTGCACAGCAATTCAACACTGTTGAATTGAGCCGGGTACAACGTGCACCGTCGAGATCGCGAGCGAGATAATGGTGGTGGCCTAGCGTTCATCACGCCCCACACCGTGCAGTATCGTCTCATCGAAGCAGACATCGACCGCAGGAATACCACCCTAGAATGTCAGTGTATTTCTATCCGGTCAGTCGATGTTGAGCTCGAAATATTTAACATATACATACCCCCTGTCACCTGCTGCCCGGCAGGGCAGGGGAACTGACTTGGCTGAGCAGATAGTCGATTCGACATTCTGCACAATGAACGACGACGCACCCGCCAGGATTATGGGCAGCTGCTGCAGCTCGCCAGACATAACAATAGTCAGCGCTGGTCTGATAAACAGCATATCATGGCGACCTATGCTGACTTTGGCATCAGACCATCTGCCCATAGTCATCTCGATCGATAAACCAACCGACTTTGCTTTCGCGGAACACCGGACCTATATCAACTTTTCTAAAGCTGATTGGAAACGCTTCGCAGAATTTACTGAAAACACCTTCGCTGCTCTCTCCACACCAACCGACGTCCACCTTGGTCAACGTAAGTTCCGCAGGGCTGTCACCGCTGCTGCAGCTCGCTTCATACCGGCAGGATGTATTACGGACCCACGTCCAAATTTCCCTGCTGAAGTGGCCGTTCTAGCCGATGAGCGTGATAGCCTTCGTCAGGCCGATCCCGGAGAACCCCGTATCAGGGATCTTAACGCGGAGATTCGGCAACTAGTAAACGTACATAAGCGGAAGAAGTAGGAAGAGCATCTGAAGACCTGTAACTTCACCTCCGGTGTGAGTAAACTCTGGGCAACCGTGAGGTCACTGTCCAATCCGACGAAGCACGACGACAGAGTCGAAATTTCTTTCGGCGACCATGCTTCGTCGGACCCGGAGCGATGCGCGAGCTATTTTAGCCGGCAGTTCATACTGCATCCTCCGGTGGACAAAGCCAAGCGTCGAGTGACCAGAAGGCTGCACAAACTGCCAGCAACCTGTGCCCCCCTTGCTTTCACTTGCGGTGAAGTTAAGGTGGCCATCGGGAAGGCGAAAGCCTCCAAAGCCATGGGTCCCGACAGAATATGCATGCTGATGCTGAAAAATTTGGGTCCTGCGGGAGTAGCGTACCTAACGGAGGTCCTCAATCTGTCTATGGCCACTCTCATCATCCCAGACATCTGGAAGGTGGGGAGAGTGGTCCCACTGCTCAAACCGGGGAAACCTGCCAACAAAGGAGATTCGTATCGACCGATAACACTCCTTTCCCCGGTAGCGAAGACACTCGAGGCCTTGCTGCTCCCGTATTTCACGAACCACCTGACCCCAGTGAAGCATCAGCATGGTTTCCGTAAAGTGCACAGTACAACAACAGCACTTAACGTCATAAATACTCAGATAACTCGTGGCCTTAACTGTAACCGTCCCTGTGAGAGAACAATTCTAGTAGCGTTGGACTTGTTAAAGGCGTTTGACACTGTCAGCCAGTCCACGCTACTAGAAGATATAGAGGCTTCCTCTCTCCCACAGAGGCTCAAACGGTGGTCGGCAAATTATCTGAGTGGTCGACATTCGTCGGTAATGTAAGCAGCGAAAAATAAAACAGGGGGTTCCTCAGGGTGGTGTCCTTTCCCCGCTACTGTTTAACTTTTACATTTCAAAGCTCCCTCAACCACCAGAGGGAGTCTCGATTGTCTCTTACGCCGAGGATTGCTCGATCATGGCGACTGGGAATGGAATTGATGACCTGTGTTCGAAAGTAAACGGGTATCTCTCCGATCTTTCTCGCTTCTTCATTGCAAAGTGTCTAGCCCTCTCCCCTACGAAATCCTCTGCGACCTTGGTCACAACCTGGACGAAGGAGGTCAGGCTACCGCTGGGAATTCACGTCGATGATACACCAATTCCGACGGTGAATAATCCCAAAATACTCGGGAGTAACATTCGACAGCCTGCTCTCCTTCTCCGCGCACGCAACCGCTATTGTCAATAAAGTACAGAGCCGCAACAAGGTCCTCAAGTCGCTAGCCGGCAATACTTGGGGGCAAAGACAAAGGGTCTGATTATGCATACTTCGCATAACTTCGCACAACCATTTGTACGAATGCAATAAAAATGTAACTTAAGAAAATGTGAAGCAAAATCCAAACTCAACAGATCACTAAGTTTTTAAAAGTTCTGCTAATTTCTGGGTAATGGAATACATACAAATTAGATACAAAGTACATACGAAATTACAGTTTGAAATTTATGCGAAGTTGTGCGAAGTTATGCGAAGTATGCATAATCAGACCAAAAGAAACGTTGCTGGCAACATACAAGGCCGGCCGGTTTTGAACTACGCAGCACCAGTGTGGTCGCCGGGGACTAGTAGGCCGAAGTGGACGAAGCTACAGACAGTACAGAACACCGCACTCAGGACAGCGACTGGATGCCTCCGGATGTCGCCAGAACATCACCTCCACAACGAGGCACAAATGCTCCCAATTAAGGAGCCCAACATAATGCTCTGCGAGCAGTTTCTGATCGGGAGCCACAGAAGTGGCCACCCGAACAGACAGCTGCTTGCAGAGGAGCCCTCACCTAAGCACGTCAGGAGGCATCTATACGAACTGACGGACGAAGTCCATAGGTTCATCAAGCAGCCTCTGGACCCGTCAGCTTACCGACTGGCCCTGAACGGCATTCACAGGGAGTCAGTCTCGAGTTATGTAGACTCTAGACCTGTGAATGCCGTTCTAGGCACACGACCACCAGACATAGACGAGACGGAGCTTCATCTGCCTCGAGAGACAAGAACAACAATAGCCCAACTTCGCTCTGGCTACTGCAGCAGGTTAAACTCATACCTGAGTAGACTGAATGCGGATGTGCCATATGAGTGTCCGGCATGCGGAAAGACCCCACATGACTCGAAACATCTCTTCGCATGCCCGGAAAACCCGACAACCCTAACGGCCTTGTCCCTGTGGACCGACCCGGTGGAGGCTGCACGCTTCCTAGGGCTGCCGTTAGTGGAACTTGATGTAGCCGCTACAACAACAACAACAACAACATGTCACTAAATCCTCATTAGTGACGATGTCACCGGTGACCATTTTCGCTACTGGGTATTTTGCTAAACTGACTTTTATTATCTACCGTATGTATGTATACAATCAATCTTATACTTACGAACATATGTATTTTCTCTATCTTTTCTCTTCTACTTAAATGTGTCCACTTATGCATGTGGCATGTGATCTATGTCCCACTCGATCAATTTATTTTTTTGTTTTTTTGATCCGCACTCCCAAAATTTTGAATATTCATTGCTAATGGCCATGTCCTGTCTGTGTGCGAGCGTTCTCCTTTACGTGCATGTATGTGTGTATGACTTTGTGCGTATGCATGTATATGTATGTACATATGTATACGTACATATATGTATGTTTACTTGGGAAAAACAATGCTATGTACATATGTATGTATGTAAATAAAAATTAAACCACCATCTGTTGTCTGAATGCCCTTGTCCCTTTGTGTCTGTCTGCGCCCATATATTGTACATATATGTATGTACGTGCAAATGCATGCATTTGTGTGAATATATGTATCAATAGATATTGAGCACGAGGATGCGGACGAGGGCATTGCTAAGGACGAGTTAGGTGGACATACTGAACTCTTGCCAACAGTCATCATTGAAGCAAGTAATTTTAATTCTTCACTTCTTCCACTCGAAGGGATGCTGGAGGAAGGCCGCGTAGTTACGGTGCGTGATCTCCTCAAAGGCCTCTATGAAAAGGCATGTCAACAAAAGCTGTGGGGCCTAGTGCGTCACACAGCCGGTATGTTGGGCAAACGTGTGGAGGATCTAGCTAAGGCAGTAACGGACTTACTCGTGCGCCAGAAGCAGGTAATTACTTACATAGTTATTTAATAAAGATCTTGGGACAGTCTAATGTACGTAAATGTACGTTGTAGGTGACTGTAGGAATGCCACCAAACAATGAATACACGATTACAGCACCTTTACCGGAACTTGAGCTGCGCCAGCTAATTCACGATGTAAGTTAACGAGTCTTCCGAGTATCAAAATATACACACGTACATACATACATATATATGCTATGAATTCTCCGTCATAGACTTATGGCGACGATGAGAGTACCGCTATGCTTACCCAAGAGTTAATGGTATACCTTGCCATGTTTATACGCACCGAACCACAACTCTTCCACGAAATGTTGCGCCTGCGAGTAGGCCTCATTATACAAGTTATGGCTAAAGAATTGTCGCGTACCCTCAACTGTGACGGTGAAGCGGCTTCAGAGCACTTACTCAATCTTTCACCATTTGAAATGAAGAATTTGCTCTACCACATACTTAGTGGAAAAGAGTTTGCTGTAAGCAGTGGTGAGTCATTCCATACCTTTATAATACCGATTTATCTATTTCCTTTTATAATAAACGTTTTTTCTTTCTTCCCAGTTGCACGGGGCAATCTTTCCATCGTTAGCTGTAAGTCAAGTCGGGTCAGCAAGAAAAGCCAAATTGGTTTGGGCGAACAAGAGGGCGACGATGCGATTATTGCAACTATCGACGATCGTCAAGGTCAATGGTTGCGTCGCCGGCGCTTGGATGGTGCCCTAAATCGTGTACCACGTGATTTCTATTCTCGTGTTTGGAGTGTACTTGAAAAGTGCCAAGGGCTGGCTATTGAAGGTCGCATACTACAGCAGAGTTTGACGCAGGAAATGACTCCAGGCGAGTTGAAGTTCGCTTTGGAAGTTGAAACTGCACTGAATCAAATACCACAACCCGAATATAGGCAGTTGGTAGTTGAGGCTCTTATGGTGCTAACACTAATGACAGAACACAATATGGTTCCCTCTCTGGGCGGCATAATCTATGTGGAACATTTGGTACACAAAGCCAATCAACTTTTCCTAGAGGATCAACGGAAAGTCCAGGGCGATGCCATGTTGTGCTGCGCAAAGTCCAAAGAGGGCAAGGATCAACAAGCAGCTTCTGGTATGCTTCTGTGTGGGGGCGCTGCTTACATTTGCCAACATCTTTATGACAGGTAATATTCAGGGATATCACTGAATCCATAGTAGTCCGGTTTTTCGTAGTCTTTGGAAATGCTACCATTCAATCCGAATAGCTCTTTCGTAGATTTGTCGAAAATTGGACTACGATAAGTTCAGCAATATTTTTTTTTTTTTTATCAAATCATAGAATCAACTAACCAATGATCCCAAATTGCTCTTTACCATTTCGTTGTAGTGCACCCAGTGGTAGTTATGGTACAATGACTTATATGGCTCGTGCTGTCGCACTTGTGCTGGATTGTGTTCCAAAGCATGGAGAGATGGAATGTGTAATATCTTAAATCTGTTAACAGAAACTTCAGATACTTGGTCAGCCACTACTTCGCTCTATTGAAGCCATTATTAAGTCAGATGCTGGCTGCCGTCGTTTTTTTTTATTATATTTTGTGTGTTTTTATTTCGACTTCGAAGGTCTACATACATAAATGATTAAGCAACTACGAATTCAAAAACTATTTTACTTAAAATGCTCGAACGATAGTACGATATTTTAAAAGGATACAAATATTAATGACAATGTTTTCGACAGGAAGGAGCACATTTGACACCGTTTTTGGTATTTTTGCTGTTTAAGAGTTTTTATTCAAATAAAGTTATTATGCAAATGTATTTAAACAAATTTTGATTTAAGTTATTAACAAATTTATTGTAAATTAAAATGAGAATGTGCTTAGAGCTAGCACGCTATTCTGAATACTTCGTGCTGTAAAGTAATAGCTAAAACCATTAAGGGGCTAATTGGGTAATTCCAATTTCCATTTGTTAAATACAGTTAGGCGACCAATTTATTAGAACATTAGGGTGTTAAGTGAATTTTTCCATCTTTTTTTCCTTTTTGACAAAATAATACATTAAATAAGAACTTAAAATCTAACAATAACCTCGGTCTGGTACACGTCTTCGTGGTGCACATTTTATGATGTCATCAACACGTAATATCATCTCGGCTGCCTCAGCAGCAGACATTAATACCTGTCGCTTTACAGCAAACGATTCTGTGATACCGAGTTCTTTCATATCGCCAACTTTACCCTTTTCCATGTCCAAACCAGCTGTAGATTTACCTTGCGCATGTCCAGCACGTAACTCCGACACTAACTGCGCTGAATCATACCCAGCATTGTCGGCAATAGCTGTAGGTAATGCCAGTAAAGCTCCTGCAGAATGAGTAGCATTTATTGACCTTATTTGCCTAATTATGGTTAGAATTTACTTACTTGCAAAAGCTTCCATTGCGATCGCCTCCTTTCCGGCAGTTTCGGCAGCCTTTTTCAACACAGCATTGGCCATAAGCGCTTCAGAGCAACCGCCACCGTAAACAATACGCGATTCTTTTACCGTAGCTGCAAGAACACATAGTGCATCGTGCAATGAACGATCAGCTTCATCTATGATTTGTTGTGTAGCACCGCGTATCACAACTGTGCAGGCTTCACCTAATTTTACGCCACTGAAACGTAAAAGTGTGTCTTCGCCAATCATCACTTGCTCGATGACGTCACATTCGCCCAATTTGACCAAAGATGGGTTGTCGAAAGTCGAAACGATTTCACCACCTGTAACTAGTGCTAAACGTTCGATTCCATCGAAGTCGGCATGTTCAATGGCCATAACACCAGCGTCCGCGAATAATTGCTCAGGATAATTGTAAATAAGTTGGCGGTTGATGAAGACATTACAATTGTGGTTAAGTATTTTTTGAACCTTATCTTTCATTTTCTCCTTTTCTGCTAGTTCCAGATCGGCAATCTTTGCTAAAGAATCAACCTTGATTGTACTTCCGAATACTTTGATCTTGTCAGTATCCATTGGTGTATTCGCAATAAGAATTTTCGCTTTTTCAATCTGAGATTTAAAATTGAAACAGTTTCCATTAATGCAAACGTGTTAAAAATACCTTAAAACAATACTGCGTTACGTAAATGAAGAGGTCGTATGATTGATGATATAGTTACAGCATCAAACTCGTCAAAATGGCTGTGATATGGCTTTCGTATGTTACATAGTTCACAACCATCTCGACGGATTGATACAGAACATTCTTTATGGAAGTCTTGTTTTTAACGCATATAGAATATCTAAAAGTTACACTTACTCGCTGAGGTTGATGCACGCCTGGCTTCTTGTCTAATAGAAAACCTTCATCTAAGAATGAGTCATCCAATGTACCACCAGTCTTTTTGATTATTTGAATTGCATGCAGTTCTCCTGAGCCTTTAAGTCGCAAAACAGCGTCCACAGCTAGTTTTGAAAAAAATTCTTTGTGTTGATGCAAAATTTTCGACGACAATGTTGTTCTGGCAATGTTCAGCAAATCTTCCTTAAATTTTACATCATTTGCAGAATTGTCCTGGGAAGCTTTTATAAGTGCTTCTCGTGCCACCTCAGTAGCTAAACGCCAGCCAGCTATGATAATTTGAGGGTGTAGTTTTTGTTCAACCAATTTCTCAGCTTCTCGTAAAAGTTCTGCCGCTAACACTGTCACTGAAGTAGTACCATCTCCAACTTCTTCATCTTGAACACGCGACATGTCTACCAATATTTTGGCGGCGGGATTGTCTACACCCACCGCTCGTAAAATGGTTGCGCCGTCGTTTGTTACTTCAACTTGACCAGCATTACGGCCATGAGCTACTAGGATTTTGTCCATACCCTTTGGCCCCAAAGTGCTTTTAACGAGATCGCCAATGGCAATGGCACCTATAAATGACGACAGGCGGGCCATTTCAGCTTTCTCCTCTTGAGCCTCGCTCTTCAGCACACGCACTGGATTCAATGACATCTCCTGTAAGGAAATATACTGTAATTAAAATTGTTTCTACGGGACATTTTGTGGGTGTGGAAGAAAAAAGAATTTCAAGTTAACCTTACTTTTTTAGCATGATGGTGGATACAGAAAATTAAAGTTAATAAGGGAAAGCATATCTCTGCAAATTTTATACGTATTAACATATATATTTTTAGGGTCAGTCGATTGTTCCGAGCAATTAGATAGTTTATCATATTTCCAGAACTTTCTTTGATAGACCAAATACTTTATAAAATGCTTAAATAGTATAAAAAATAATATACATAAATACATTTTAAGGATTTAAAGTTAACATGGACATCACGCACAACACGTGTTTTTATTGGACACAATAATGTGCCTCATGCATTAAGCATCCGTGATGCATCTGCTAAAACACCCGGCATTATTTACAAAGTTTTGTCCTAGAGCACATTCGGCGAACCAAATATATTCAGCTCATATTGGCCCTTGGTGCAATAAAAACCATTTCTTATTTAACTTTTTATAAAATTTAGAATTTATCTCACCATTTTGATGATTTTTATTTTTCCGTCTGCAGCAACACCCAAAAACGACAAATGGAAAAAATAAAAATGGCGAATGAGTCAATGCTCCTCACGCGATACACACAAACAACCAAAATGGAAGTGTTGCCTTTAAAGTTTAAGAGCAGTGCTGCCAACTCATTCGTGTAAAAAATCGCTAGAAAAAATCTAAATCCCACTAAACAAAACCAGAAACATACAGTGACCTAAACAATGATCATGTGTTAATTTTTTTTAAATGTTCGTAATGTGCTATACTTTTTTTGTTATTTTTTTTTTAACCAATTTTAAATTAAATTGGCGCAATCTTGTATTCTATCATTCTTGGCCACCTTCTGTATTCGTTTCACCATGGGTAAAAGCGAAATACACAACTCAAGCGGCTTGACAAACCACCACTTCATTTCAAACGTGTCTCCTTTTGTTTTGAACAATTATAAAAATGAAGTTGAGCGAACCCAAAAAGCAAAACAAAATATAAAGGTAAATGGATCAGCATTGAACTGCGTCAAAATGAAAATAAGGGAGCTCGAATTTCGAAATGGGAAAGGTAGATTTGAAGTATGTTTGACAATCCGCTTGGGTGGTGTATTTTCACCTATCTCGTGATTTGATAACACTGCTGAATACTAAACAAGCATTCAAATAAGAGGTTTAATCTAAGTTATTATTTATTTACTCTCAAATTAAGTTTTTATTTAGAAAGTATTACAATCCTTGGAAGCTTTTATATTAGTAATTGTTGCAGTTAAAATGTTATTTGTACTGGGAAATTTTACTTTCGCAAGAAAAGCAACACTGCTCATAGTGCTACCATCCTCCCGTAATTTGTAACGTCAAAATCAAGTCCGCAAATGTTCGCTAAAACATGGAATAAAATAAGAAACTGGGACCAATTAAAAATGATTTTTTACTGCAATGGCAATTTGGCGATTTTTGTGACCTAATGACAATTTTTCTGTATGTTCAAATTGGCCTGCTTTTTAACTTTGAAGATAGTTACAAAAAAAATGCAGTGTAAACACTTGGTGAGAGTTTACTATTTCTGATAATATATAGTAGTCGTATCGAAATTATATCATGTAGCTGCACTAATAGTAGTTATCGATAAGTAGTTTTCTGTTTGTTTCACCACTATTTAAGCAGGTTTTGGCGGTCAATTCATAATTTTTACGTTGTGACCTTACATATTTTATTGAACGAAGGGAATTATGAAAAAGTTCTTTAGCAAAACTTGTAAGTATCAACAGTTTTGAATGCACATAGTTAAGTTGCAGTTTGAAAAAAAAATTAAGATAAAAATGTGATTTTATTGCAATTAAAGATATTTTAGTTAAAAGTAATGCGATCGATTTTCAAAAATGAGGTGTCAAATTAAAGGGCTTTGCTTTTACGTGGCTTTAGTTTTTTGCAAAGGGTTGCCAGATGTTGGCAAATCAAATTCCAATAATCGAGCTCTGAGATATTTGCGTTTAATTTCGTGAAATCGGCAGTACATGTACCGATTCTATTAAAAGAAAACGTGGGACGTAAATCATTGTCGTCTTGAAATAAACATCACGAAAGACGAGAAAAACAAAAGTCGATTATAATTATTATGAGAAGACGTAAATAATTTTCGTCTTGAAATAAACGTCCCGAGAGACGAAA